AGACAGCATAGCTCCTAGGATCATTGGGACACTCAAACCCCTCCACCACGATAAGGTAGCAGCCCAAGGAGAGGTCCACCTAACCAAGTTTTAAAATCTTATATCAGCCAAAAAGCCTTTTTGATCTTGTTTTCAGACTGATTTACTAAACAAGAACTGATTGTGTAAGAATAATCATCTTGTTTTCAGAATGTGTAAGATTATTTGTCTTGTTAGTCTGAAAATTTGACTCTAATTAAGTCAAACATTTCTGCCAGTGGAGTAAGAACATTTTACTTGGTAAGATTCTTGAAAAAAGAAAAAACTGAGTCAAATCAAGTATTTCAAATACTTATTTTCCACCATAGTTTGCAAATAAATTCTTAATATTTCTTGTCYGATATCGCTGTTCAAACATCAACAATGAGTCATAAAAAGAGGAACAATGAACACATTTTTTACATCTCTCATATAGTTTTGGGTGATTTGTCACATTTTGCCTTRTACACCCACACACAGCTGTTTATGTTCACACACACTTTGGGTTTCTGGGCAGATCAAAYGCCCATCTGTCAGCTGGAATATTCCTGGAAACATCTGGTTTTTCACAAAACAAGAGGGCAGAGTTTCCCATGCAAATGAAATATTTCTCTCTCCAATTCTGCAATTATCAGCACTGAAACAATAACATTATTTAAATAAGAAAGAAATTATAGATAACTACTCTCAAAACTCTATTTTCACCTCAGAGAAGCCCAGGTGACATTAAACATCTGTAGGTCAAATTAAGCTGCATTTATTCCACCAGGGGGTGCTGTTGTGTCACATTAAAGTACTTAAAATAAACTTCTAATGATTGATTTTGGATTTCCCCAGAATGTCATCTGTTTGTAACGGTTAGTTGTGAATTAGCTGTGGAAAGCCACCTTAAATGGCTTCCCAGCTGGGGCTGGGGAAAATGGAAAATCCCCTCTTAAAAGCCTAAAAAACTCAGTTTTAAATGTAAGTGTTTGTTTCTCCTGATCTAGTGGTTTATTTATTGCACCTACCAGTCAAAAGTTTTAGAACACCCTCATTTTCCAATTTTTTAATTTGAAATTCAAGCATTTCAAGTCCAATGAGCAACTTGAAAGAGTACAAAATGCTGAACTTCCAGAGGTTTTGTTTGAAAAATAAAAGGTGACCCAAAACTGAAAGTCAGTGTGAGTCCAGTTTCCTTCACCATCACAATTCACTCAGAAACTGAAGGAAACTCTGACAGGAAGAGGTGTGACCTTCATGTTGGTGCTTGGACTTGAGCAACTTGAATTTCAAATAAAATAACTGGAAAAACGAGGGTGTTATAAAACCTTTGACCTGTACATATAATGTTTTTTAAGGAGCAATATTATGTGTTTAACAGGCATATATTTGAATTCTATACCATAATAAAGTAACTATGTCACCTTCGGTTGTTATTAAAATTCTGTTTTTATGTTTAAATAGAAATTAAACTTCTCATCATTTCTGTTTCTAAACACCTTGAAATTTGCTTCTGTCCCGCCCATTTCAGCACCGGGCAGGGTGGGGGGGTGCTCTGTGATGAGGAAGCTCAGCTTGGAGACACAGCCCAGAGGAGGAGCTGGTCCCAAAAGGTGGTTCTAGTCCCAACTGGTGGTYTCTGCTCCCCTGCCTGCTGCCTCAGGACACTGCAGGATTTATCAAACATGATGAATGAGTCAAAGTAAGACTCTGGACATGTTTTTGACGAGAGGTCAACATTATAACATGATATAAAACTWAAAAAAAGGTTGATTTTACATGATATTGCCCCTTTATTAGATATTTTATATGAGATATGTTGCTAACAGAGAGGACTGAGAGGTAATGTTAAAATATTTTGCACCAAAGGCCTATGTGTCAAACTCAAGTCCCACCAGATAATCAGGCTCTTGTCACCATTTTTAAAATTTGAAAGCTAAGAAAAGTTTGAATTTTTCAATAATTTTTGATTTTGGTGTAAAAGGAGTAACAGAAAACCTAATTAAATTTGATTCTTCCATATTCTCTTCTTATCAGTCAAATAATTTGATTTTTTATTGAGGGTTTTTTATACCTGATTTGCTGGATTAAATAATAAATTAAAAGTTGTTGATATGGCATGATGAGTCTTTACTTTTTTCTTCATGCATTAGTTTATGTATAGAATTGGGATTTGGAAAGCACTGGTCTACTTGTTTCAGCCACAGTTATTGAGGCTAAATGCAGTCTGCTAACAAATAAAAAAATGTCTAAATAAAATAGGAGTAACGACTTAAATTTTTTAAAATTTAAGGCATATAAGCAAAAATAAGGCTGAAAAATAAATATTTAAGTAAAGTAAAGATAACCAAAGTGTTACTTTTTGCAAGGTTAATTTAAATTRGTCCAGTGRTGTGTAAGATATTTTGCTAACAGACATTTTTGTGGAATGGACCTTAATTAATTCCAGGTTTGATGTGTTGGTGGCAGCCTTGTACAAGAATAATGACCAGTTTTGAGTTGAACTTCATTTCCCATGATGCCTTGGTGCACTCTGCAGTGATGTGGGGTGTGGTGTTTTGAATGACTGTGTGTGTGTGTGTGTGTGTGTGTGTGTGTGTGTGTGT